ATACACATATACACAGGATACACACACATAACATGCACATACACACACATACACACACACACACATACACATACACATATACACAGGATACACACACATAACATGCACATACACACACTTCAATTACTTTGTTATCTTTAATAAATTCAAGTGTATGAATATTTCATACAAGCATACCTTCCAATATTTATGTATACTTCGATGAAATGATTTAGCAGCTACATGCACATGGGAAATTAATTAATTGATTTGAATAGGTGACGATACTCTCATATCGAAATTCATTATTTGCTCTCATTGTAATTTGAATGTCGCACAAAAGATTCAAGAAATAAAATTATGATTGTTGTAAGAAAAATTTTAGAATTATAAACTGTAAATGTATGAGTAACTTTACTAATGTCAGCAATTATTTTGGGCCCATTTTATCTTTAATTAGGAATATATTCGTATTGTGAATGAGTACGAAAAACAACTAGTATGATCATTTGCGCAAATGGATGATGTAATACCTAGTCTTGTCATTATTTTGTCCCAAATATGGAGTCGTTGATTATGTAAAGTGTTGAATATGGTTTCTCAATTTTAGCTCAGTTTCAAAGATTTGAAACGAGAATTTGAATAATTTCTTTGCGTAACGAAAAAGAGAGCAAATTAGAAACCATTGATTAGTATCTAAACTAATTGTAGAAAGTTTTATTTGATACTACTATAGAACAGATAGATGACTACTTGTCAATTATTTATTATTCTTCTTTTTGTTACGGCGAAACTTCTCAATACTACTTCATCAGGTTACATTAAAAGCGTAAATGGTACTACGTGAAATAATAAAGAAGGCATGTCGTTCTTTTGTTGCTCATATTTGATGGAGGATTCTGTACTTCACAATTTAATATCGTAGTGAAGGAGTGACAATAGCTAAGCATGAAGTAAATACAAGTAGACCTATTCCGCTAATTTGTATACTCTCTGAGTTTGGTACATAACATACAATCCTTTAATTTCTGTATCATCCAATTTTGTCGTCTAAGATAGAATGTTGTAGTCCATGAAAAACTTCGCTGATATGAAAACTGTGTTGTTTATTACCAAAGACTATAATGCCAATTGAAGAAAAGGACATTGAAGATGATGAAATGATTGCGATATCTCATTTGATGTTATCAGAAACATTCATGTAATTCATTTGCCTTTCTCTCTTCTATAAAGTTTGAAAGTTTAGTTAAATCTCTTTGTTTGGGACCAAAATATTAACTTTGCCCAAAGTTTTATTATTTATTATTAAATGTGTTATTCCTCTTCAATATCCGTTATTATCATTCAATATGACTATTTCAAATTTATATTTGCATTAAAATTTCTGGTATTTTTCTCTTTCTACTTGTGATTTAATTAGCATTTAATAATGTCCCTTCTTCACATTACACAAAGACAAAAAATGGAAGCAGCACAAAATAGAGTGACAAATAAAACTTTGAAAGTTAAATTTTTTAACACAATATTACAAATAATGAATTTTCAATAAAATATTGTGATTTCTAGTTGGACCGTGTGCTATTAATTATACAATGATGGATCATCAGTATGATCCGTATGAAGAACCATTAGCAGGTGAACTGGTTGAGCGACATCGCAGCATTCATTCATGTTCAGCTACTCCTCCCACACCCAAAAGACCACCATTAACAGTTAGTTATCTCTTCAAATATTTTCAGGATATCGGGACATTTACTCTACAGAAAAACAAATAACATGACAATGTTAAACTGATAATTCTGGAAAGAGATATGGAGAGAAAACTTCTGAAATTATTTTCTGAGAACAAAAAAGATTGGCGATTGTTGTGTTGGATTATTGTTTGTTGAATAAATCCCAATATATGCATCCTTTTAAATGATCATGCAGCTCAATTGATGAATGACGTAAACTCCCGAATCATTTCAGGTGATGAAGCGTGGTAGTAGCATAGTAACGAGCGTTGATAGTTGTTCATCACCCATGTGTACATTTGGACGTGATTACGTGTATTCATTACATCAGAACGTGAAAGCATCGTTGCTATACGGCAAAAATAATGTCACCGCAGCTATATCACCTGATGGACTGCCAATGAAGGGTTATCTATCGCTGCATCAGAATTCACCCGGAAATTTGACTGTCAAGTGGTCACCCAATCAGTTGATGCATTCAAGGTTCCAAACATTTGCATAAATTTATTAATCAATTTGCTTACTTTGATAGTTGTTCATCACCCAGTGTACATTTGGACGTGATTACGTGTATTCATTACAACAGAACGTGAAAGCGTCATTGCTATACGGCAAAAATAATGTCACCGCAGCTATATCACTTTTTTTAATGTTATGCTTGTCACTTGCTTACTGATTAAATTGTTGTCACTTGCTTACTGATTAAATTGTTTGTCATAAAATCAGTTAAGCATCTGAGCGAGATAAAATCAAAGTGAGATATTTTCTGCTCTATAAATTTAGTTCGCAGCCATCCTCAGCCTCCTGCGATAATCTTCTCTGTGATGGTGATTGGCTTTGGAGGCATATTATCAACATCAATATCAGCGATATCATCTACATACACATACATCAGTATAGTTAGTCTCTTCTCAATAATTCTCCTTGTTTAGCGTCAAAGAATTATTTGAATTATTGTTTGCTACTTTTATTATTGTTATCCAGCTTTAACCACCAAATTCGAAACTATCTTATTCAGTCATTGACAAAGATAGGATAAAGTCGGAGAATATTGCGGTCATCTTGACCACTACATCATGCTTGTGTGACATATGAATTCAATGATAGTCTTTGTGTAATGATGCCTTAGTAAAAAAATTATCGATAAGATCATGAGTTTATTTGACAAAGAAGAAAGATATTTGAGAATCAATCTGGCTATTTCAGATGAGAATTCACCAACAACACTTGTTTTCGTTGGAGGTGACGGTGTGCAACATTCACCAATGCAATTCCAGGCTGGCCATCATTTGCTCGCCTTTCTTTCTTGTCTCGAAAGTGGTTTGGCACCTTACAATCGACTTGATCCACCCCTATGGATTTCCAAAGAGAAAGGTTATCAAACACTTTTAAATCTTTATGCTGTTATATCAAACGATTACCTTCATAACAACATAGCAAGTTACGTTGAACTTGTTACTATATTTAACATGCCTATGCTCAAAAATCAATTCATGCATTAATAAAAAAGAAAATGAATTGATGCGCTAATAATAATAATAACAATAATTAATAATTAATAATAATAATAATAATAA